CACATTAAAAATAAAGAATATACGTTACAATACCGATCTAATATTCCAGCCAAATTCATTGTTGGTGACTCCTATCATTAATGGGACTGCATTGAATTCTTTTCCAGCCAGTATCTCTTCAGGTGGCTTATGAAGAAACACTCCATCCAAAACCAAGGGAAGAAATGAGATTTCCTGAAGGAAGAGAAAAAACCCAATCAAATTAGTTGTTAATAGTATTTCCAATTTTTCCTTCAAATCATGTAAGATGTCCACATTAAATGTCCTAAGTGCAAAAAAGAGCTTTAAGAAATTCAAGTATCTACAGCCACTGTAACATAAATTTAGTTTAGCACAGGAGTATAAAATGCAGGCCTGGCTGGGTCAAGGTGTAGAGGAATGTAATGGGTTCCTGATCCTGTGCTGTTCTGACATTAAAACATAGGGATGCTCAAACCTTGCTCACAACTTCACAGGTGCTATGACATGGTCAAAATTTCCAGAAAGAAATTACATGTGAAATTATTTCAACATAGGGAGTGTATTTTGACAAAAGAGAAGAAAAATCAACTTTGGAATGGATCATCAATGAACTCTGATCAGAGGCTGAGCTAAACTTTTGCAAGTGAGCCATTAAAAAGCTCAGTTGCCATGAAGTCTCACTGACCTTGCTCTTAAGGACTATGTGCTCTGCTTCCTGCTTCCTCAAGCAGCTCAGCAGGGAGAGGGAACTGCTCGTCTCACACTCAAAGATACTGGCAATTTTCTGAAAATTATCAACAAAGACAGGCACTGTTATAAAATCATTAGACACACTGCTATTAATAGCTTGATTTAGTGGCAGATTTAGGTGAGACTGGTAGATCTTGGAGTATTTTATTTTACTAGAAATGCTACAGTTTGATCACAAAGTGGAATCATTCTGGTATACTTGTCCTTCTTGCTGTATTTCCATTCACTGCTTTTCAAACTTTGCTGTAGAGATAATACAAACTTGTAGCATAAACCCCATAAAAAAAGAAAATTCAGAAACATTTACATTATTACTGTCATTACAAGAAAAGATATTAAAAGGCACTTAGAGAAGGTGATTTTATTTTAAGGTTTTATGTTTGTTTTATGTTTAATTAATTTACCTCACAAAAAGGCCCACCCTAAAAGACTGTAGGTCAATTAAAAAATGATTTTTTTTTCTAGATTCTTGTTAAACTTTCCATAATAAATGCCACAGTTACTGTATAGAGTACACTAGGTATGAAAATGGACATTTGCCTAGCTTAGCATGTGTGTGACTGCAAATACCTTTGTCAGCCCACAGCTGTTATAATCATACAGCTGTACAATCTGTCAGACTGAAATTAAACAGGTTTGCTGCAACAATTAACTGGATCAACTTTGTTGCACACTATGCAATGAGATTTTCCCCTTTTTTCTTTTAAGCAAATTATCACATAGAAGTATCCTATTTTAGGCTATAAAGACTTAAAATGAAGAAAAAAATAAAATGAGCTTACCTTAAGATCTGTTGAAAGATGTAAATCTTTACTGGGGGGGATTAGAACTCCACTCTCTGATATTGCTTTATGAAAGAGACCCTTAGATAAAGGAGAGAGCACCTGCCAAAAGGAATGAAAAAACCTTTTATTCTGCATTAACATCCTTACCACATAACTTTGTGCTAGTTATTGTCTAGTCCACCCTTGGATTCAGTTGGGTATTATACATCTTTATTTGCTAAATCTCCAGATTTAGCCCAATGTGCTGTTAAACTTACTGTCAAAAAACAGACTAGGCATGAAATGTTGTCTTAATTGAGCATTTGAAGATTTTTATTTTTATCTACTATATACCTACATGTGCAAAAACAAAGCAAGATCCTGCAGATATCCCAAAGAGAGTGACAGATGCTGGGTCTCCACCAAAGTGCTCAATATTTCCTTGGACCCAGCGAAGAGCTGCGACTTGATCCAGGTACGCCCAGTTCCCGCGGGCGTGCTCGTCACCAGTACTGAAAGGAAAGCAGCAGAGCCACTCCTCAGGAACAGTGACAACACCACAACAAAGGCAGTCTCAGCCATCTGTGCTTCGTGCAGTGACCTACAGCCCTCACTGTCACACCTCAGCCCCTGACTCCCCTGCACAGCTGGATCCCTGGCCTTTACCCGAGTTTTGGCTTTACACACCAGAGGATGGAAAGGCCAGAACAAACATCCTGTCCAGCACCAAACACGCCCAGCTATGATCTGATAGCAGGCTGCAATCACACAACCATGCAGATGGAATGTACAGACATTTCTTGCTGTTCTGAAGTCCTGATGTCAGTGAATTATGTACATTAAAACCACTGCAACAGTGGGAAGCTGATATAGACATTCAGCAGATTTAGCAAACAGAACTATCCATGCTTTAAACACAACAGCAAGTAGTTTTTACAAAGTAAAATAGGTGCTCTTACTTAAAGAATCCAAGGAGTCCCAGTCTGTACTGAATTATTACCACCACAACATTCTCATAGGCTGACAGTGCAGAGCCATCATACCGAGCAGCACCTCCAAATATAAAATTGCCTCCATGGATCCACACCATTACCTTGGAAACAAAAGGGACACAGCTTTATGCACTGGTTTGCAGATTTCCCTTGAAAAAGGAAAACATCAGAGAGTTAGGAACACCAAATCACCAATTTCAGACTGGTGGACTTTGAATTTTACATGCTAATATTATTTCTGCTTGTGCAGCATCTCCTTTTCAAAAGCATTTAAGTCCCTTAGGAGCAATCATTACTTGCAAGCTTTATAAAACACAAGTTTATTCAATGGTTTACATACAGGTAACTTGTCCTTCTTGCTTGAGCCAGCAGGGCTGTAAACACTGAGATACAAACAGTCCTCAGAAGTTTGGAATGCAAGGTGCTTTTCTTTATAGTTTTTTTCAGCTGTTTTCAACATGGACAGATCTTGAGGACAGCTTCATAAAAACAAACAAATAAACAAAACAATGAAAAAAAACCCCCAAACAAACAAACCACCCACAAAACAACAACACAAAAAAACAGAACAAAACACACAGTCATTAGTACTAAACCTGCAATAGCATCAATGTAACAATGGTAGAGAAAATACACTTATTTTGCCCCTGGCTGAATCCCCACAGGGTGCTTGAATTTTGTGTTATCTATAATCAGTGAGAAGTGCAGCCTGTAAAAGCACATCTCCACACCTGCACCAGGAATATTCCAGTACTGGCAGTGCCTCCACTACCAAATATAAATTCCTCAGCAAAAAAACAGGCCAATAAACCAAAACTGCACCCCAATAAACACAACTCTGACCAGCATGGGCAGGTTCTATTTACAAATGAACAGCTCTCACAGTGGTGGGTAAGAAGTTGCATCTCTCAGACCAGTCCAGGGCTCAGGTGGTTCAGGTGGGGAAAACCTCAGGGATCCAAGAGGGGCTTTTGCAAAAGGAATTCCAAGGAAAACATTTACAAGCTTGTCTGTCCCCTTCACATTTTCCTGTGTTCCTTTGAGCCGGCCGAGTGCAATAGTCACTTCTGGCTCAGCACCACTCTGTCCTAAGTAACACAAAAGGTAAAAAAAATAAAATAAATTGCATCTTCATAATTATCATACAGACTTTTCTATTAAGTATTTTTAACCGACTGTTTAATTTAGAACACTTCAGCTTATTCCTTTCAATTTTGTTCAGTTTTCATTTTGCTTTGGTGCAGTGACAGACACCCCCTGTCAAACCCTCCTGTCAGTGATACCTGGAGCCAGGTAGGGTAGAGTTTAGTCACTGTGCAAGAGCAAATTCCAGAGCAAACAGCAAAAACATTAACATTTCCTAAATTTATCATTCAGCAAGATCTTAAAAATATTTTGTTTAGAGAATTCAGAAATGTTGCTGCTTTCAACCTTTTAAAAAAGACAGAAAGCTTTATTTTTATTAAATCATCTCAAAAACAGTTTCATCTCACAAACCCCGTAATTTTTGCATCATGAAAGCATTTTTGCAGATTGGTAACCAAAGCATAAGAGATTTACCGCCTTTGAAAAAATCATTGGAATTGTTGGTGCAGTGGCTTCCCCAGCTGGAACAAGAAGAGATTGCACACCCTCTCACCTTCTGCCCCGCACACGAGGAACGCTACGCTACAAAACAAGGCACAAAGCAACGCGAGCGGGCTCGCCGGAGACATTTTCAGCCCCGATCGGGCTCCCGGTGACTCTCCGGTTTCATGCGGAACAGGAGGGGACAAAGGTCCCAGCAAGGGCACTCGGAACGCGGCTGAATTGCGAGTGTGAATTGCAGCGTGGAACGCTTCCAGAGCGATAAATACAGCCCCGAGAAATACAGCCCCTCAGAGCCGGGACACGGCCCCACACAGCCCGGGACACGGCCCCACACAGCCCGGGACACGGCCCCACACAGCCCGGGACACGGCCCCTCAGAGCCGGGACACGGCCCCACACGGAACCCCCTTCGCGTTTCCTGCTCCCGGCACTGGCCCAGCACCGCCAGCCCCAATCCGCAGTTCATTCATCTGCTGTCAGTGCCAGTGGCACAGAAAACAGGGCAAGTCTGAACAGACTCCAGAGTTTAAACACTATAAAGTTCTTAAAACCCCCTTAAATCAACAAAAATCTCACCAGAACACCTCCGCAAATAAAACCAAGTAACAATCCCTCCCCCCAAAAAACACCGGTACTAGAGATTACAAATAGAAAAAGGACATTAACTAGAAACTAGCAATAAAGAAGATAAGCAAATCAAAGTAGTTAATTCTTGCCTTAGTATCTTTTAGAGGGGTGCATGAAGCCAGAGTATGTCATCGCTGTATTCTATCACTCCAGTTTAATTTTGCGTGGTTTTTTTTGTTTGATTTTTCAAAGTAGGGAACAGAAGAGAAAAACAACTTTAACCGGAGCATCCTCGGCAGCACCTGGTCCAGTCCGGAGGCCCCTGGCGGACACCGCGCCGCCAACTCCATTGGCTTCCAGCCTGGTGCTGCAGCCGATGGGGGCTCGGGGGCAGCACAAAGTCCAAGGACCGAAGCCCGAGGCCCGAAACCCGAGGCCCAAAGCCCCGCAGCCCCTGCCGCCCTCGGGAGGAGCCCTCGGAACCGGGCCCGGCTCCGCCCCCGCCCAGGCCCCGCGCGGTGCGGCGCCGATCGCGATCCGGGCTGGTTCCGGTGTGCGCGGTTCCGGTCCGGGCTGGTTCCGGTGTGCGCGGTNGGCAGGGCCGGGCCGGGCAGGGCAGGGCAGAACAAGGCAGGGCAGGACCAGGCAGGGCAGGACCAGGCAGGGCCAGGCCGGGCAGGGCAGGGCAGGGCAGAACAAGGCAGGGCAGGACCAGGCAGGCCGGGCAGGGCCGGGCAGGGCAGGGCCGGGCAGGGCAGAGGCGCTTTCCTTAACCCGCACATCTGATCCGCTCCATCAATGACCCCGAGCACCCGCTCACCCTGGAGGAGCTGAACGTCGTCGAGCAAGTGCGAGTGAAAGTGAGATCCCGTGCTGCCTCAGCCCCCCGATAACTAATTGCTTTTTTATAATATTTAAATATATTTATAGTAGCGCCTAAACACAGTCCTGAAAAATGTCACTGAGCACATGTCTGTCAGTTTCCTCGGGGCGGTTTGGGCTGGAGCAGGGCTGTGTTTCCCCATCGCAGGTGAGCGATGCCGAGAGCACGGTGTCGGTGGAGTTCACCCCCACCATCCCACACTGCAGCATGGCCACCCTCATCGGCCTCTCCATCAAGGTCAAACTGCTCCGCTCTCTGCCCGAGAGATTCAAGGTGAGGAATCAAATCGCTGGGTGAAGCAAAAGATTGTATTTGGAAAAATTGTTTTAAAAAAAGAAAAAGAAAAAAAAGCGCTAATTGGCTTGCAGTGAAAAATAACTGGAGCTTTTTGGATTTGTTGTGTGAGGGAGACTGCAGGAAGCAGAGAGGGCAGTGGGCTGAAATGTCAGTGCCCAGTTGTGGTTGTGGGGCTGTTTTTATGGGCCCAGGGGGTTCTGAGAGGAATCACTACAGTGCTCTGAGCCGTGGCAGGAGGAGAGGTCTCACCCTTGTCTCAAGCAGGCTTAAGCACATGCAAATGCAGTGTACTCTGTAATTTTAGGCTTTTATTCTGTTTTATAGAACAAAATAAAAGTTATATAGAGTAACTAATATAGTCATGTAGAATAACTGATAGTGGCAAGAACATCCTTTCTCTGTTCTTTTTGTTCCTGTCTTGTTTTTATTTGTTTGACCTTTGCCTTCCAGTGATTTGTTGAACTCATCTGTTTCTTTTGTGCTGCTATTTCAGCTGGATGTTCATATAACACCAGGAACTCATGTCTCTGAGCACGCAGGTAAGGCTTTTAGTCCTCTCTTGTGTGGTCTTTATATTTGTTTTATCTTGAAGATTAGTGAGGAGAGCGATTCCCACAGCTGCAGAGCAGCTGCTCAGTGTCTGGGACTTTCTGTCCCATTCTGGGGGATGTTCCAGAACAAGAACATGGAATGTCACTTAGATTGTCCTGTAGTGTTCTTTAAACATCTCCTTAGGCAACCTGTGCTCTCAGTCAGTCACTGATTTGTCTGAGCACTCAGAAAAGGGGAGGGAAATGGGGTTTTTCTCATTACACCTCCAGAGCAGCTCCCTGCTGCTGAATCACAGCCAGCTCCCTGCAAAACTGTGATGACAGAGAGCCTCTGCCTTGAGACAGCAGCTCTGGGGTGCACTTGGCATCCTCAGAGCTGCAGCACCATGGCAACTGTGATTATGTGGCTCAACGTGAAGACATCGGGTCCCAGTCCTGACTGGTTTCTTGTGGGTTTTTTCCTGCACAGTTAACAAACAGCTCGCAGATAAAGAACGTGTGGCAGCTGCTTTGGAAAACTCTCACCTGCTGGAAGTGGTGAATCAGTGTTTGTCTGCTCGGTCATAATTGCCTGGTGAGGAAATCATTGGTATTCTGATCTATTAAACTTATTTTGTATATAAGTGGTGATGTTACAATTTACATAAACCTATGAGCAAAATAAAGTCACTTAAATTCTCTTGAGGAAATGTTTTCTTGCTCTTTCAAAAATACTATGTGGGGAGTTAGCTTACAAACAGCTATAAAAATATAATGAAAATTGGCTTTTTAATTGTATGAGTCATTGCATAGGTACAATTTTACATTAAAAATATTTTTTGTTTTTAAGTGGTTTCTCACTACTAAAAATAAGTTATAAGCTGCATTTTAGAAGTGGATTTTGCACACTGGACTTCACAAATACACCAAGAGAACTTGCAGTTAAAATCTTTACATTCCTGTGACAGTTTCAGACTGCTAAGACAGTGTCACTTTCAGACATCAGCAGTTGTATGAGCTGATTGTGTGCAAAGTTGGAGGACATTTTAGCAGTAACTGTGCACACTTCCAAATCATGTGTCTGGTTTTAATTCTCTTACCTTAGATTAGCCAGAATATGGAGGGCTCTTTAGACCTGTGTAAAACACGATTTGTTTTTAATTCCTACTCCATTATGGTAGGAAATAGAGTATCTTTGAAGGAGGTTTTATTTGTGCACCTGCAATACAGCAGTCATTACCAATTCTCAGTAGGAACAGCCCAGCAGGCTCTGCTGAAAGACTGTCCTGGCAGTGTTTGACAGCTAAAGGACAAGTTTTGCTCTAAATGCCTTGAGATTTAATGCTAAAACCCAGCCTATGCTTCTGGTTTGGGAACTGTAGCATTCACTAAACTGTTGTCTTTGGCAGACAATTCATTAGGAATTAATTTGAATTTTTGTAAAAGATGTCTCTAGTCCTGGACCACATGGAAAAATAACAACCTGTTGAGAAATCCTGGTGGGTCCTTTGGTGCATGCACCAATGTTGCCTTCTTTGCCATTAGTTTTCTGGAAAATAAGAAATACACTTTCTGAAAATACAGGTTGTGCTCATCAGTGTGGTGGGAGTGCTTTGTACTCCAGTAGCATTTTCTCTGGGAGGGTCTCAGATGCTGTTTGAAAAGGGTGAAGCTTATGGACATTGTGTAAAGCTCAGCCTAGCAGTCCAGTCCAGTGCTCCAAGTGTGACATCTAGAGTCACACAGCAAAGCAGGAGAGACACAAAGCCCAAAGCCAGACCTTCCCATTTCAGAGCTGAGCCTCCCTGTTTGCACAGGGCTACAGAAAACCAGCCCTGCAGCAGCCTCAGCCTGTGGCTCAGCATCCTTTGAATGGGCAGCACTGCTGGGATGTATGAATGAAACTGCAAATAAAGACAGTATTTATGTAATACTAATACTGGGCAGGGAACAGAATGACCCAGCTTTCCTCTGCCTCTCTTGTTGAATCACTGAACTGATTAGTTCTGACACTGCCAACATTTGCACCACAGATGGAACTCCAGCCATGGTAATGGATGCAGGCAGCTCTTGGGCACCACGCTTGGTTGGTTTATTTTGTTTTCTGGTTTTTGGTGGCTTTTTAAAAATAAAATAAATATTGCCCCCAGATTTTGGGGAAGAAAGAAATGCAAGTATGTGCCAGGGGAAAACAGGAGGATGACTCAGCTTCCAACAGATTGCTTCAACCTGCACTCCAAACAGAGAAGGGATCAGTAAATGGTGCTTTGCTCTGCTTGGCTTTCACCACCCCATAATAGTTGTGTTAAATAATTTATTGGGATGTTGGCACTTGTTTCCTGAAGCACAATGTGCACAGCAGCCCTGGGGGTGCACTTTGTACCATTTACCTTCTCAGAGAAGCAACTGAATGTGTTTGATGGTTTACATTTCTAGTTAATAGTTGGGGAATGACTTTTCAGTAAGGGGAATCTGCTGTGGGTTTTCAAAGAAGAGGTCTGACTTCTGCTATTTAGGGATGGAGAATCTGATTACTTTAGGTCTGGTGTGTTTTAAGTGTATTTAGGATAGAAACAACCACAGTGACTTTGCTGAAGGCCCCAGGGCCTCCTGTCCAGGCTCCTTCAGTTCTGTACTTGCTGATAATGTTTCTCACCAGTTTTTACCAGTTCTGGTAAAAACCTTCCATCCTGCTTTTGATGATCATTAGCTGGTTCCTTTTGTATGGAGATAAAATGGGAGAAGAAAACACTTAATTTGTTAGAAATATTTCTTTTCAGATGCTTATTATTCCGAAACACCACCCCTAAATTTAGCCTCTGGAATGCTTTGTAATAGGACACATTCCATGAGAAACTGTGACCCTTTGGAGCAGCTGTGTTGAGTACAAACAGCCTTATTCAAGTCCAGGAAAAATGCCAGGAGCAGACATCTGCTTCACATTCCTGAGCTCTGGGCAGAGTCTTCCAGGGGTGGCTGGTTGGCATTCCCCACTCCCAGGGCAGCTGGATGGCATTCCCCACTCCCAGGGCAGTGTCTCTAGAGTGTTTGAGCCCACAGCCCACAGCAGCACCTTGGGGTGGGGCAGGATTCCCCTGCTGCTCCCACAGTGTCCCTGCTGCTGGTCCCAACCTCTGAACTCTGCAGCCCCTGCATGTCTCAGGTTCAGCTGTGGCAGCTCAGCAGCTCTGTATCCAAAGATGCAGCTGAACTGTCCATGGAAGAGCTTCACCCTTGCATGGCATCATTTCTCATGGCCCTGGGGTGGAGCAGCATGTGCCACACACTGTAAATGTTAATTAATAAAAGCTATTTCAGTATTCTGGCCATGCTCAAGGGTGCTGTGTCTGCGTCAATAGAGGGCTTTGATAAGGATCTCCCTCTGGAGCTTTGATTTATAAACTCTGTGTTTTACAATTTTTTTTTTTTTTCTATAGCTGTTAAAAGCATTTCTCTTTGGTCTGTCAGGCAGAGAACTGGACCACTTTCCCTTCCTTTACCAAATGTGCTGTTTGGCATAAATAGAGTCTGAGGAAGTGGCAGAGTGAGTGTGTTTTCATAGGCAAAAGAAAAGTTTATAGTAAAATCTCTCTGATGTTACTAAGTAACAGCAAAGAGTACCAAAGTAGAGAAAATTGAGGTGTGTTTAAGTTTCTGGTCTCAGCCATTTGCCAGCAACATTTAATAGCACATAAAACTTTCATTCCACAAAATGCTAAAAATACAGGACATTTTTACAAGATGCACAAATAGCAGAGAACCCTCATTTTGTCCAACACACTTCAGTAGCTGCAGAACATATTCTGTCACACTGACCTCTTTACCTCTTATCATCAACTCATTTATTATTTTATGTCCTAAATGCTTTTGCATCCTGCCACACACAGGTTATCTCCATTCCTTAACTTTTCTTTTGTGGACCTGAGGATCAGCACTGTCTGCAGTGATAAAAACCTCCTGGTTCTTTGCCTGGATGAATCCCTGCTCTCCCAGTTCCATTCCACCACTGCTCAGGGTCTCTTTCCAGCTGTCTCATCAGTTTGTTGCCTTGCAGCACCTCATGGCAGCACTTGCACACTTCTGACAGTGAGGTTCTTGAACAGGAGCTAAGGCAGGCCCTGGTTCCTGAGCTTCCAGAGCAGGATAGGAGGGAGAGAATAGGCCAGAAGTTATTTTCCACTAAATCTGTGGAAAAAATATGACCTGGGAATGAGGAGCAGCTGCTGCCAGGTACCTTTGGACAGAGAGATGTGCCACACCTCCCTGTGCTGCCACTGCCCTCACACAGAGCTTCTCCTTCGCTGGAGGCTTTGTCCTTCCGATCCCATCAGCTCATGCTGACACCTCCCTGCCCTCTGCTTTCCTCCTTCCCTTCGAGCTGCCTGCCTGGAGGGGAGGTTCCCTCCAGGTGTGGGGTCTGCAGCCCAGGCACAGCCCCAGCCTGGCCCCTGCGCCTCCCGTGCCACGTCCCGGAGTGCCCCGAGCTGCTGCAGGGTGTTTCTGCCCGCTGCAGGTGGGTCACACACAGCAGGAGGATCACCCCTGGCCCCAAAAACCCCGTGTTTGAAGCTGACAAAGAGCTCTGGCCCACTGGCCAGCTCCAGGTGCAGTGGCCAAAGGGTTTGGGCACAGCTGTGTCCCTGCTGAGCCGAGCAGGACCCAGCGAGGCATCGCTGCCAAACTCTTCTGGAGCTGATCCTCCCCGTTTTTGTGGTGTAACTTGGAGATGATGGTTTATCAAAGCACTTTTATCTCTAATCTACCCAAATTAGTTCCATCTAGGTTCCCATCACATGTGCCACACCTGGCTTTGTCTGAAGTGACCTCAGGAGGTCGTCAGGAGCTTGCTTCACCCCGAGATCCTGGTAGTTTGATTTCTTCACCTTGCTGATGGGAGAGCTGGCACATGCTCTGCCTAAGGGTTGTGAAGGTATCTAAGCAGCAAAATACTTTTCATTTCCTCTGCAAAGTGACAAATAAATCATCCACACAATCTGAAATGCTTGCAGAGAAAAGCAAATAATGCCAACAGATTCCATTCTTTTTCCCTAGCAGTTTTAATACAACAAAACTAGTTTTTATTACTGAAAATCAGAAAATCGTTTCACTAACACTGCAGCCAACTTTAAAAAAAAACAACAAACAATTGTTTTTTAGGCAGAAAGAAAATAATTAGGACTGAGTCACATAAATTGTTTCTCTTCAAATTTGTACTGACTTATTTTCATAACAACACATTTATGCACTGGGTTTTTTAAAACACAAGTCAACATTGTAAAGACCCTGTCAAATTCTACTTTAGTAATGCTTCTTACTAATGACAAAATTGACTAGGAGCCTGAAACAGGAGCTGTTATTTAAAAAATTTCTTCTCCTTCCCACTTACCATTTTGGGTCTGATCCTGAAAACTTAAAACCTTTAACTGAGGTCATACTCTGGATTATATTTTTAGCATAGAAGTGATGAAATTTTGTCACATTTATCTTTGTTTGTAAGGACAATATTGGGCCATTCCTAGTAAAACAAGAGAGTGAATTTATTTTTTCAAACAAAAAGTGAACATTGTATCAGCTTTAATATAAGTCCTATCTGCCTTCCTTTAAGTGCATATGTCATTTGGGTGCACACAGTTCAGTCCATCTGTGTTTTAGGCGCTTGGCTGCACAGGAGAAGTACTTATGCAGTTACCAGGTCACACAATTAACTGGTTTGCTCCATTTTATGGCTGAATAAATAAACTCTGTAGCTTTTATGCAAATTCTGGACACATCAGGTAATGCATCGTATTAGATTAGTCCTTGTGGCATATTCTGCTAATCCTTAAAACTGCAGTTTTTTGTTGGGAGCGTTATGGAGCCGGTGCACCTTCCTCTGACATTCTGCTGCCCTGGGGGGTTCAGCATCTTAAAATCCGCTCGGGTCTTTCCCTGGCTACAAAGGAATTGTGGCTTCTCTCCCGGCCCAGCGGGCAATCCCCGCTTGGGCAGGGCGGGCGAGACACGGCTCTGCCCACAGCTCTGGAACACACAAATAAAACAAGAAGCCGAGGAGAGGGAAGACGGGAGAGCTGCCAAGGCTGTGAGGTGATGGCCCCGATGGGCGCAGGCAGGGCTGGAGCGGGAGCCCCGCACGGAGCCCGGCCCGGCCCGGCCGGCGCAGCTCGGGATGCTCCGGCCGGGATTGGTGGCGCTTCCCGCGGCGCCCCGGGCCAGCCCTGCCCGCAAACACCGCTCACAGCACCGAGCAGGGAAACACTGCCAGCACAGAGCGCGGATGTGGGGAAATGGGAACACGGAGGGGTTCCCGGGATGGGTTCCCGGGCGGGCCCCGGCAGATGGAGCTGCGCTCTCAGTGGGAGCGGGGAGCGGCTCCCGCAGCGCACGGACAGCCCCGGGTATGGACACTGTCCAGGTATGGACACTGACCAGGTATGGACACTGCCCGGGTATGGACACTGACAGGGTATGGACACTGACAGGGTATGGACACTGACTGGGCATGGACACTGTCCAGGTATGGACACTGCCCGGGTATGGACACTGCCCGGGTATGGACACTGCCCAGGTATGGACACTGCCCGGGTATGGACACTGCCCGGGTATGGACACTGCCCGGGTATGGACACTGACTGGACACGGACACTGTCCAGACACGGACACTGACTGGACACTGACTGGACACTGACACTGACCGGACACCTCTGCCGGCCCCTTTGCCGGGCTCACCATCCTCACCCCTGGCTCCAAGGCAGGATCCTGCTGGATCATATTGGGCACCTGACCAAATCCCTTCACGAGCAAAATATCAGTGTACACCATCCACAGCAGCTCTGTCCCTACAAAGAGTGATGGACTGTTCTTACACAGGATGTCTTTCCCATTCATAAAACCTTTTTTTTTTTTTAAAAAAGCTGACACAGTTTCAGCTGAACTGAGATACAGTTTATCTCAGCTGACTTGGTAATTACTGAAGCATTCCACTTTAATCTGGGTGATGGTTAATGAAATCTGCAATAAAATCGTTTGTGGCTTTTGTCTTTGTAGAAAAACCTCACAAATATGTAACAGATATGGAGAAATAAATAGGAATGGTATAGAATGCATTGTTATTTTCTGTCACAGCTAATCGAGGGAAGCCTATACATCAACGTGGCTTGATGGTGCCAGGATGACAGACTCATTTCTCCAATGAACCATTTTCTTCTTATATGGCAAAAAAGCACTGCATCTGTATGAGATCATCTAGAAAAATCCTCCTTCCTGAAAAATACTATATTCTTTTTTGTTGCCTAGCTACATGCTGCTGTTACCTTAGAAGGCTGTAGATTCATCTGAATGATTCTGGTGGAGCTGGTGTGCTTGAACAGAGGAGTGATGCAAATTTATAAGCCTTGTAAAGATATGAAAGAAAAGGGTGAGTGTGAAAGAAAGGCTTTGCAGCAAAGCAATTTGCTGTGTATTTCATATTCTTTTATGACATTACTTGTTGAATAAAGTACATTTCACCCCACAGCCCAGGTACATGAGCAGGCAGTGACTGACACACACGCTCAGTGTTTTTAATGTGAGAGTCTGATGCCAAGGAAACGTTTGCTTGGTTCACATTAATTGCTGCTGTGAGTAAGTGTAGAGGAGGGAAAAGAATGCTAAGGCTTGATTCTGATCTCATTCCCAAAACTGTGACATGGAAAAATGCCATGGAAAGCAATCAGCGTGCTGAATTCCATTTGCACCAGGGAATGGGATGATCACCGAGTCTTTCACTGAAAATCAGTAGCTTTGATGACTTGGGAAATGAAGGGCCTAAAGCCCAAAGGTTTACATTGTAATGAGCCCATCACAAAAACCTCTGACTGGAAACTCCTCATGCATGAGACATGAAGAGATTGAGAGCTGAGCAATAACTCCCTGTCACTGTCCCAGCCTGATCAGCAGCTCAGGGTGTCCAGAGGTGAAATCCTCACTGAAGGCTCCAGTTCGCTGCTATTCCCTAAAAGTGAGGATTTACCTCTGGGAAGATGAACAAGGAAATAAAGTTATTTCTTACCTGCTCCACTGTAACTTCTTTGGGTGTAGGATGTCCTTGATACACATCACAATTTTGCAGTTTTTGTCTTTAGGACTGACAGATTTTAGCACTGGAGTTTTGATTCAGATTTATCTAGTTAGGGCTGGCTTTCAAATTAAAATCTGCATTTGCTTTCACAAGATAACATTTTTCAAGTCTATTGCCTATAAACCCCCTTATATAAGGAACACACTTCATACCATTCTCTTATCTCAGTCTAGGCTTGTATTTGCTCTCTGTATTTAATTATGAGCCTAAATGCTGACCATTTTATATTTTTTGAGAGAGAGTGGTGGATAATGAAGCATATTATGGTTATAATAATGACATAATTTCACAAGAATAGAATCAGAAAGAAATTTGATGATTTAAAATAGAAAAAAAATTAAAAGATAATTATATTCATTCAAGTATAACTCTACAATTAGAATTTTGAAGGTTTTTACCAGAAAGTCTTGTATAGCAGCAGAGGCAAAGCAGGAAATGTGACATTTAAAAGAAGCAGAGATTCCTTTTACTGCTATGATGCAAATATGGAATTTGCCAAACTCTGTACATTCCAACAGGACAAATTCTGAGTTTCTCCTGGAAGAAATGGTAACATCTCTCACATCCAAATTCCCACACACTTTGCATGGGTGCTTCCACTCACCACAGGAAAAGACACCATAAATTCTGCACTGGCTTATAAAGAAGTACAAAGCTTTTCCAATTCAAATTCTTGTCTCCCCTGTGACTGTGAGTTTTTGTCCCTACTTCAAGGTTTCATTTATTGAAATGTAAGGAAAACGGAGTTTCAGCACAAGGGAGGCAAGAACAAGCTTTGGCACCTAAAGCAGCAGCTCTGATTCTGTCCCCACTGGTCCCCGCCAGGAGCCTCACGTAACGTGCAGTGATTCTCAGCCTTGGAAATGCACATTTGGACACAGAACTGAAGGCATCTGTGTAAAAAAAAAGCTACATTAAACATTCCTTGTCCTTTTTTTCTTACCTGGTACACAGAAGAGGGCAGCACAGCAGAAGTTTCCCTTTATATTGCCGTCAGCACTTGAAGCTGTGTTTCTGTGCTGTGTCCTTCCCTCAGCAATGCATCCACTGGAAGCCTCTTGGGTGTTTCCTCTGAGGGCCACAGGGCTGCTCCCACTATGGGTTTTCAATCCAGGAAGACTTTTTCTTCTTCACCTGTCATTTTCATGGAAATATCTCCATTTCCATGAAATACATTTCCATGAATATCTACATTATGACAACTCTATCAGATTTTCAGAGCTGCTAACAGGCAACTTTTGAAGACTCTGTCCCCACAGGTGTATGGAGAAATGAGTTCTGTGGGTTAGCAAGGGTGGCTTTAGGCTGTTTTCTACACAATTTCCTGCCTATCAAATGCTTATGTCCTCAATAAAATAGAAGTAGGTCTGCAAAAATGTTACTCAGTGCTCAGCTGACAGTGTAAACAGATGATAAAAATTCTTGGGATTAAGAAAGAAAGCAGAAAGCCTCAGCATCCACAGTGAAAGTCTACAGGAACATGTTGAATAATCCATGTTTCTAATCTGTACTTTTTGTCCCCTAATGTCTAAAAAGATGTATTAGTTAAGATAGAGAAGAGCAAGCAGGGATTCATGTTTATACATGGACTGAGGAACTCCAGGTTCCAAAGCCACACGAGAAAACTCCTGCAGAAAGCTGTAAAACCACTGCATGTGTGAAGGAGACATGAGGGAAATCTTATTTTCTGCTTCACCATACAGTAAATGGGGGTGGTACAGGGTGTTGAAAATCAAGGTGTGTTAAAAAACAGTTTGAAAAATAGGCAGAAAAATCCTACATCAAGAGCCTCTGGTGGCTGCGTGTGTGGAGTTTTAATTGTGTTTATCATGTTTTTACTGTCCATTCTTCTTTAGATATCTGCTACAGACAGCTGCTGGAAACTGGCTGTAAGTTGAGTCTGACCCAAGATGGCTTCTTTGATTTGTTATTGTAAATAGATTCACTCCTCTTGCCAAGGGCTATTGCTGGTAAACAATAAATCTTCCCTTCTCAGTTTGCTTCCTTAGCACTACGTAATTCTTAGTAAGACACACAGCCACTTACTTTGCCCACTCCCTAAACCAACTGTCTGTAAATTCAGAAACCTTTTCATGGTCTCTGAATTCCAAATATTTCTCGTGAAGGGGCTGTGAAATCCCCACCAAGGAGAATACATCCTGCAGGAATTGTAAGGGGATATTTAGCGTTCCAGTCACAGAGGGATGATGTATGTCACACACATCGGCTGCGACAGGTTTAATTCTGAAACAGAGGAATTAGGGGTGATTAAAGAAAACAATTATGGAAATATCTTAGGTCATGTTCTGTTTTTACTCTGAACTTGAAACGTAATAGGGGCAAACAGCTGACCACATCCAGTACGTGCTGAGAGCCCGAGGGGGATCCGAGCACCCAAAGCCTGCCTCCCGTAGCCGCGGCACACGAGCAGTTACCGCCCCGGCGAGAAGGAAACTCGACACTGAAAACCTGAAATTAAGCAGGAATTTAGTGTTAAACTTAGACAGAATGTTTTCCCAAAGTATCCCCCAACATATATTAGTAGTTTACTAACAGCCTGTGGTAAAGAAGAGGAGGAATTCCATGGGCACAATGAAATTGGATCTGCCCCTTGTGCAACTCCTTTTTTCTGGAGCCGTGATTCACCTGGTTCCGCTGGTCATTGGCTTTTCCAGGACTGGAAGTTTTGTAGCTTACTCAAAGCAGTGAGAAATCCAGAGCAGCTGAAAGATGAACCACATTTCCCGTTATTCCTGTCCCAGGTTATTTTTTGCACTCCTTTGCAAGAGTTTAAGAAAGACAGGCCTTTGCTTTACATTATGAGCCATGAACTTAAAACGTGCCTGTTTTATCATTCTCTACCTGAAAATGCAAACAGTTCTGCATTCTTTTGTAGAGATCTTTAGAATTTCTGGTCTAGAGCTGGGAGGAAGCACAGTAGCCATGAAAGGTTTATTATTTTTGTAGCTGTAACAATGGCTTTAGTTGGGTTTCTGTTTGCATTTCCCCCTTGGCACTCTGTGTGAGCTTTCTAAGCTGTATCAATTTCTGTTGACTCCAAAGCTCATATTTCTCCCATTATTCTTTCAGCCCCAATTCATGGCTACCACCACTCAATCAAAAGTATTACCTGCCATTAAATCCAAGAGTAATTATCAGGGAAAGCTTGGCCCCTTGGCTGAAGAGGTGTGCTGCCTTCCCTCAGCAACCTCCAAAGGCAGGGTCAGCGTGGATGTGACATTTGTCACCTTCCCACAAAGGAGTTCATGGAGCTGAAATCTCCACCTCTGCTGCTTCTTGTACACTTCAAAGAGTCCCTTGCTTTTACCCCATACATCACCTGCAGGACAATGGAATATAAATATGCCTCATGTGAAAAGGTCTGATACAAACTGAATTAGTTAGCCCAGGGCTCTTCAGCTCACAGTGATCTGTGATTTTAAGGCTGATGCTGAGGGAAAATTGATACCATATTTGCACTATATCCTACTTTTTGTGGGATAAGGACAAATATGTTTTCACTTCCCTGTACCTCTATCTCTCTTGCTTAGGTTAAAACCCCAACATATTTCATGCTGCTGCCTCTGTCTCTTCTCCCAGTGGCCCGAGTGTGTCAGTTCTGTAATAAAAGTAATAGTAAATGCTGCTATTTCTTTCTCAGTCCAGGTGTTTGGAAGGTAGCCAGGCTCATGCTCCTGCAGGAGTAATGCTTCATATTCCTTGGCAAGAACAGACCTTTGTGGGTATCTCTACCATTTGTATAGAAATAACTTCACCCACATAATGGCTGATTAATTAGACTTGAGCACTGCAGATGAGTTGAAAAGTAAGGAGGAGAGAAACCCACAACTTCAGTGTAGAGCCACACTAAGAACAATGCTGACTTATGGCTAATCCAGCCTTTGGACTGGTCAAAATATCAAAATAGTCCTATTTTTCACAATCAGTTGTGAAACAGTTCTGGTGTAAGATAGCAGCAACCCCACAAACTGGAATTCGGTAATAATATTAATTTGATGTAAAAAAATATAAACACTATTTATAATATGGCATTTGACCTTGAACAAACACTCATGAGGATCAAACACATAAAGTTCATGCAACCCCAAAATTTTTCGTTTTCAAGCTGTAAGTTCAAAGGGGAGGGTGTTAGGTTTTACATGCTTGGTTTAGTTTAGTTTAGTTTAGTTTAGTTTAGTTTAGTTTAGTTAACTTAGTTTACTGCACCCCCTGCAAAGTCTGTGCTTGTCATTTAGACCATGAAATGCCCTCTGCCCCTAATACAGAATAAAGGAATTCCTTTGGCTTTATTACCCCAGGAATACATAACTGGAAAAACAGGATCAAACTGCATGTTTTGTATTTTCCAGCTGATGAAATGTACTTGGGCTGAGAGAGTGCACTAGAAACAAACACTGGCACTTCTCAAAAGCTTGAGGAAGAGTGAGAGGGAAAAGAAACAGAGAAAGAATAAAATAGGAAAGAGATAAGAGAAAAAGAAGAAACTGGGTATACTACAACAGTGAAATGCAAGGAAAGGCACTCTAAGTGGAAAGTGTATGAAATGAGGAAAATTAAAATCATGCAAAGATGAAACTAAACTGAAAAAAATGTAATCCTTTTTTTTCTTAGAGAGAAGTAGAAGCTAGAACAATAGAAAATAAGGGTAGAAAAGCAAGGCATGAAAATATCTTTTAAATAGAAATAAATTACAGTTCATGTATCTGTTAGAGGCATGATCACACAGAAGTGGAAATGGAGAGCAGGTGAGAAGATGATCCTAAAGTCTTTCAAAGAAATGAAAGATCACCATTTGAAGGGCTCATATGCACTCCACTGAAATCAGTGGGTGCCACAGTAATGTATACATGAAAATACAATAATTACAATAATTACCAGCAAGCAGGAAAAACACAGCAATAATTACCAGCAAGCAGAACTACATGTGATGTGAAGAGATATGTTATGTTTCTCAAGTCATTAGCCTGAATTATCAGCTAATTCCTTCCAGCTTCACAAAATAGCTGGACCTATTAATATCCCAGGAGGTGACCCAGCTCGTGCCCCCTGTGTTCCCCAGGGCAGAGGGGAGCAGGAACAGCCCTGGCACCGTGCTGCTCATCCCTCCAGGAACCAGCACAAGCCAAGGCCACCTCACCTTCCAGTAAGGGACACTCAAAGAACCCAGTGCCAGATCCTGAGCAGGATCCTGTGACCATGGTGCTGTTCTGTAATTCTAAATTCATTACTTGAATCTGGGTGCTGGGAAAATACCCCCGTGTTTGTCATGGAATGTTCTGTATGATTTCCACGGGGTAGAATTTTATTTTTGGTCCCTTTTCCTGCTGAAACACTGTTCTCTCAAAGTTTTTATTCATCACTTTGACATATACCTTTCCTGAGAGATTTTGGCTAGCACAGGGTCTATCTAACATCTACATCATTAAAATATCCATAATTCTCATCAGCAAAAGACTTGGAATAAAACACAGCTTCTTTGAGTGGTGTCAATGAAATCCCCATTCTTAGTGTGTTTCCAGTCCAAGAGTGCTCTTTGTGGCACAGAAGTGGCGCTGTCTCTTTGGTTCTGTTGCTTCTCAGATTTCTCTTTTTTCCCACACAGAAAAGAATTAAAAATACCCCCATTTTATATGTCAACTTCTAAAGTGTGATCCTGACACACAGTAAAGGCATGCAACAAAGTCTGGTGCAAAAGATAGAGAATCTCCCTGAGAATAGTTTCAGGTGACAATGTTAGGCAGAAAAACAAGGAAGGAAGTCAGCCGAAGACCAACCATATCTAGAAGTGTATTTACATAATTAATTGTCTATAAATTCAGAATGATCAAGGCAGTTTGGCAGATTCCAGTTTATCCACCTAAAGCAACCACAGTGTAGTTCAAATGCAAACCATAATTTATTTAACATATGGTTCCAAATGCTAGCCAGAGCTTTCTAACTCAGTTCAGTTAGCTGAAGCATGCATGTTTTACCACCAAACTCTGACTATTTAAACTGACAAGGCTATTTTGGTTGCTGTTTTGTGAAACAAGCAGGGACAGCTCGCTGCGAGCACTTGGTGATCTTTAGCTACCACATTAACACTCCCAATTGCAGTTTATCAGCGTGAAGCGGCCAAAACCACCCCGAAAGCGTGGACTGGAGAGTTAAAATTGGCTCCTGAAAATAACAGAATATTCACCCACTTAGCCCAATCCTACAGAGTTTTCTTTCCCTTATTTTCTTCCCTACATCTCGAACTTCGTTTCCATCACCTCTCGCCTTCTTTAACCTTGTTTCTGCCGCTGATTTGAAAACCCGAAAATTGACAGGGATTTGATGGCAACCATCCCTGCCCAGAGTCCCAGGGATTTTCCCGTTCTGCTGGGGCTGTAATCTTTCGGGAGCAGGGGCCAGGGCTATTTTGGCCGCACAACGTGGGACCCGTTTCGGTTGCTAAGTAAACACAAACTGTATTCAGGGCGCTGGGTGAGCCATGCAGGAGACAAGCAGAGTTATCTGCTGAGTGCTTTCTTGGCCCGATCACATGCGCATGACTGTGTCACTCGTGAGATACGGCTTGCACTGTCTCGCTTTGCTGCTCAGGTGAAAGCGAGAGGAGAATTTGACCTTTCAAAGCCTTTTGAGCCTCCCAAGCCGCTCGCCCCGCACGTGGGGCAGTGGCACGGCCGTGAGAGAGAGGTCCCGGCATGGGCACTGCTCCCGGGGCGCTGGGCAGAGCCAGCACGGGGATGCACGGGGATACACGGGGGATACACGGGGGATGCACGGGGGATACACGGGGATGCACGGGGGATGAACGGGGGATGCACGGGGATACACGGGGATGCACGGGGGATGCACGGGGGATACACGGGGAT